CAGGCTGACCTCGAACTCACAGAGATCCACCTGGCTCTGCCTCCCGAGTGCTGGGATTAAAGGCGTGCGCCACCACCGCCCGGCTAAAAGCAAACTTTTTATCCGTCATTAATTTTTCATCTAAGATTTTGCACTCTGATGTGAATACAGCATTCTGAACAGTGTCTTTGCCAGACTTGGTGGCACAGGCTCTGAATACCAGCACTCAGGAGGCAGAGACAAGCAGATCTGAATAAGTTCGAGGCATGCCGGGTATACATAGTGCGTTCCAGGACACCTGCAGCTACAGGGTGAGACCCTCTCAAAAGAAAAGAGAGAGAGACAGAGAGAGGAGAAGAAAAGAAAATGTGTCTTTTTGTGCTGAGTTCTTTTTTCTTTTTTCTCTGAGACAGAGTTTCTCTGTTCTGTCCTGGGACTCACTCTGTAGACTAGGCCGACGTGGAACTCACAGAAATCCGCCTGCCTTTGCCTCCTGAGTGCTGGGATGAAAGAAAGGCATGCACCACCACTGTAGGGCTTTGTGGTGAGTTCTTAGTGTTACACCTAGGAGTCTGGAAAGCACAGTATGCTATTTAAGGGTGTCAGGTTAGAAAGGTGTTCAGTTAGAAAAGGCCTTATAAGACAGGTGGTGTGGCACAGGCCTTAAATCCCATCACTAGAGAGACAGGCAGGTGGATCTCTCAGTTCAATGCCCTCCTGGTCTACAGAGGAAGTTTCAAAACAGGCTCAAAAGCTACACAGAGAAACCCTGTTTCAGAAAAAAAAAAAAAAGGGAAAGAAAGGCGATATTGAATAATTACAATCAGAATAATGCCTGGTCTTTTGTCACCTTTGTTCAAGAAAAGCACTCTGTCCATGGACACATGACCAAATTTTGTTTGTGTTCTGACAAATAAAGCTTGCCTGGAGATCAGTGGGCAGAGATAGCTATTAGTTAGCCAGAGAGGCCAGGTAATGATGGAATATACCTTTAATGCCAGCACTTGGGAGGAGGAAGCAGGATGATCAGGAGGAGTTCAGGGCCACCCTAGGCTACTTGAGATTGATCCAGTCTAAAAGAAACAGAGCCAGGCAATGGTGGTGCATGCCTTTCCCAGAGCTAGAGAGGTCGAGTCAGGAATATAATGCTGGTGGGGACAGGATCTCCCACCCATTCATTCAGTCTGAGAATTCATAGAAGTAAGATGTCCTAAGGTGGCTGCTCTGCTTCTCTGATCTTTCAGCTTTCACCCTAATATTGTTTTTTTTTTTAAGATTTATTCATTTTATTTATTTATTTATTTATTTATTTATTTATTTATTTATTTATTTATTTATTATGTATACAGCATGTATGACTGCAGGCCAGAAGGGGGCACCAGATCTCGTTACAGATGGTTGTGAGCCACCACGTGGTTGCTGGGAATTGAACTCAGGACCTCTAGAAGAGCAGTCAGTGCTCTTAACCTCTGAGCCATCTCTCCAGCCCTCTCCCTAATATTGTTAAGACTAATTAGAATCGCACTTCAAAATTGTTATTTTTTGGTTATTGTGTTTGCTTTGCTTGAGACCTGAACTAATAGTGTTGCTCTCTCTGGCCAAAAACTCACCATGCAGAACAGGTTGGACTGGAACTAAGAGGTTCCACCCACTTCTGTCTCCTGAGGCCAGGATTAAAGGCGTGCACCAACACAACCTTTCAGACCGTTGATTTTTACTTTGTAGTCTGTTTCACGGTTTGTGTTGTGACTGTGGACTTCTCCCAGGAGGAGGAACAATGCCTGGACCCTGTCCTGAGGGCTTTGTACAGAGACTGGATGTTGCAGAATTGCAGCAGTCTGGTTTCTGTGGGTGAGAATAGTTTGTTTGATGTCTCCCTTGATCCTCCTATTTCTTAAACTAATCTGCAAGTGTATGAGCTTTGTGTGAATGATTCTCAAATCTCACAGAGAGAGTAAAGTGAAATCCTCAAAGGAAAAAAAGTTTTTCATGGAATGTTCTCTTTTCTTCCCATGTATCACTTTGGGAGGTGTAAGGCTTCATCATTATCGGTTCATGATCACTTCAGAACCTCACTAGTATATAATCTCTTCCCAATCATTCATTTCCATTTCTGCCCCTGAGTTTTGACTGAGTTGTGTCTGGAAGTGGGATTCCAGTCACCATAACTAAAAATGCTTTCTAATTGTTTTCAGTATTCTGACCCTGCAGGACAATTGGGGAATCATTTCTATAATTCTGTATTTAGTTTTCTCTTCATCTGCTGAGCACAGTAGTACTGTGTTAGAAATCCAGGTGCTTCCTGAACAATCTCTTTCTCACTTGCAGGTCTCACTGATCACCCAGACCTGCTCACCTGTGCAGCAGAACAAAGTGGCCTGGAAGGAGAGAGGAGACAGGAGCTAAGGATCCAGGTATGGTGGAGACATTGGTGAAGGAGTGGAAAGGGGATCAAGTGAATGTGGAAGTTGGACATGAAATCAGTTTTGCCACATTCTGTTTCACTAGAGATAATTCTGGAGACTTCTACTGAGAATCTCATCAGGATTATCCTAATGTAGGTGTGAGAAGAGGTTCTAAGGGAGACTTGACACTAGGAGGGAAATAAAATTGTGTTTTCCCCTTCAGATCACTTGTTCCCTATTACTCTCTATTACTCTGTTACTCCCCCACCCCCACAATGGTCTCCTTTTAAATTTCTGGTTACTGCAGTCACTCCAGGTTGTGGACTCACATCTGAAGATTTGGAGCTAGGAACTTCCTATGTCTTTCTGGATCTGGGTTACCTCACTCTATATGATCTTTTCTAGGTCCATCCATTTATCTACAAACCTCAAGATTTCAATTTTCTTTACAGCTAAACACTATTCTGTAGTGTTTATGTACCACATCCTCACTATCCATTCCTCAGTTGAATGACTTTAGGTTGTTTCCCTTTTGTAGCTATTGTGAGTAGAGCAGCAATAAACATGGGTGAGCAAGTATCTGCAGAAGGATGTCGAATCCTTTGAGATTATACCAAGGAATGGAACAGCTGGGTCATGTGCTAGATTTATTTAACTTGAGGGTTTGTTTATTTAATTGAGGATTCTCCATATTGATTTCCAGAGTGGCTAAATTTATTGATCATAAGGTTTTTATTCCTTGTGCTTTTGTTTTTGATATTGCTGACTGAGTTATTCACAGTATTCCTCTTCCTTCTCTGTGAGAATTAGTGTTTTGCTGCCTTGCCTATGGATGATTACTAACAGTTCTCCTGTATTTATCTATTCCTCACATGAAATTTATTATTCACCATATTCTTGTGAATAATTCCTCTGATCCTCCTGTATATGTTTTACCTCTGATTTATTATCAGCAGTATTGCTTTAGTGAATTGAACTGTTTTAATTTCCTGACTGTCTTAAAATGCACTCATGTCTCCATCAATTTTAAGATAGAATTTTTCTTTGTGCAATAGTATTGTTGATGGTAATTTTCTCTACAAGCTTTACATATCTTTCCGTGTTCTCCTGGCTTTCACATCATTAACTAGACACCTGGTTGTATTCTGTTTCTTGAGTCTTTTCATGTGTTTTGACATTTTTCTTTAATAGCTTTCAGTATTAATTTTTTTTTTCTTTTTGACCCCGTATATGAAAGGGCAGCAAGGCATCTATCTGTTCATTGTTCCTGAAAGAGAAACTCTAAGAAGTGGAAGAAAAAGAAATGGCTCATTTCTCCAGTAAACATGCCCCAGGTCAGTGGTCATAGCTCCTTTTTTTTAATGGAAATGTTATAGTTTGAGATATTGGAAGCCTTTTATTTATATGCTTCTGACTTTTTTTTTTAACTTTCTCATGAAAAATGTTGAAAACATTAATTTGAGGTATTGGAAGCCTTTTATTTTCTGCTTCTGACTTTTTTTTTAACTTTCTCATGAAAAATATTGGAAACATACAAACAAACAAACAAACAAAAATTCAAAATTAACCAGACCCAAAGACTATACAACTCAATGTACTGTTATACAGTTAGAGTAGTCACTGGGAACAGAAGCTCTGGAACCTCACATGAGATTTTATAGTTTTAATATCTAGTATATTTTGATCTATTTATCTACCATCAAAATCAAAACAATGTTTAACAGAAGTAGAACTAGAAAAGCAATTAGCTTTATATCCTTTTATTTTATTTATTTATTTATTTATTTATTTATTTATTTATTTATTTATTTATTTATTTTGGTTTTTCGAGACAGGGTTTCTCTGTGTAGCTTTGCGCCTTTCCTGGAACTCACTTGGTAGCCCAGGCTGGCCTCGAATTCACAGAGATCCGCCTGGCTCTGCCTCCCGAGTGCTGGGATTAAAGGCGTGCGCCACCACCGCCCGGCCTTATATCCTTTTATTTATTTATTTATTGTTTTAAGATTACTTATTTTATGTATGAGTGTCCTATCTGCATGTATGCCTTTATTCCAGAAGAGGGCTTCAGGTCCCATAGAGATGGTTATGATCCACTATGTGGTTGCTAGGAATTGAACTCAGGACCTCTGGAAGAACAACCAGTACTCCTAACTGCTGAGCCATCTCTAGAGCCCCTTATATCCTTTTTCATAACTGGTGTTCATTGCCTGCATTCAGTCCTACCTCAACCCTCATATTTAACATTTTTGTTCTCTTTTCTACGTGTTCTTCTGTGCCCACATATACACTGTTTCTATAAACACATATTATTGGCTAGATTCTGTATATGAGGGTAAATATGATTTCTTCTTTCTGACACTGTATGACCTCTCTATTACACATTCTAAGTCCAACTATTCTCCTGCATATTTTTATTATTTTTCTCTTCAGGTTAATGGTATTTCGCTATATATGTATACTATTTTCATCATACATTCATCGGTTCATAGACAATTAGGTCACTTCCAATTTTTCACTAAGTGGTAGTAAACATTGGGTATAATATAAGTAGCTCTAGAGTGGGGTGTGGAGTTCCCGGTATATGGTCAGGAGTCAAATAGCTGGGTCATACATTAGTTCTTTTTTTTTTTAAAAAAGCTTTAGTTAATTATGTATACAGTATTCTACCTGCATGTATGCCTGCAAGCCAGAAGAGGGCACCAGATCTCTTTACAGATAGTTGTGAGCCACCATGTAGTTGCTAGGAATTGAACTTAAGACCTTTGGAAGAGCGTGCACACACACACACAACAACAACAACAACAACAGTAAATAAGGGTATCTTTCTCTCCACATTCTCTCTAACATTTGTTGTCAAGTTAGTTGGTGACAGCCATTCTGCCTGGGGTGAGACAGAATGTCAAAGTAGTTTAGTTTACATTTCTGGAATTTCAGGGATCCCGAACGCTTTTTGCTATTGACCATTTGTGTTTGTCTTTGAAAAGTATCTATTCAATTCATTTGCCCATTTGGTGATTGGCAATTTTATTTCCTTGGAGTTTAAGATCTGTAATTCTCAGTGATTCTAGGTATGCACTGCTATCCAAAGTGTCACTGGTACAGATTCTCTCCCATTCTGTGGGGTGTCTGTGTGCTCTGCTGATTTTTTATGTTGATGTACAGAAACTCTTTATTTTCATGTAGTCCCATTTGTTGCTAACATGTGTTAGTTACTGTGCTGTTGCTGTTCTTTCTAATCAGTAAATTCTTGCCCATTCTAATGTCCTGCTGGGTATTCCCTATGTTTTCTAGGTTTCTGTGTGTCTGGTTTTAAATGAGGTTTTGGATCCAGTTTGAATTGATTTTTATACAATGTGAAAGATAAGATTCTAATATAATTCTCACAGAATTTAGTATATTCATTTACTGACAGGAAATCTATGTAACTCCCGAATGTATACACATTTATTATACTTACATGTACGTGCTTAGGTGAGCTTAAATATTATTAGATGTGTTTTTGAACTTCCATCAATTTTTATAACTCTTTGTGAGTGAAGTCTTCAAAACGTCTGAAATTGTTGTTTATCTAAGTCAGCCTCTGAATATTTTTAGAAAAATCTGGATTATATCAAGTGTGGCTGATGCATATATCCATCTGCTTAGAAGTGGCCCAAAATTCTCATGATATTAATTTTATAGACTCCTTGATCTTATATATTAACTTTAAAATTTGGAGTACACAGTGTCACATTCCTTGTTACTGTGGGGAAAACCCCAAACTCTTTGACTATTGAGTCAATCACAAATTTTGCCTTCTGTATCCACCCCTTTGCTATTTAATGATGTGACTTTAGACCTAGAGTCTAAACATCCCAAGTGAACTTGATAGAATAGAGTCATGTAAGGTCCACGTACACACAGGATTGATTTGGTGTCAGTACTATAGCATGATCTTCAGGTATAGCCTTTAAAAGCACATTTCCTCATCAAGGATTTCCCTTCTGAGACGTGTACACTGTGATTCTTTGCAATATAACACAGGATCCATAAAAGATAACCCTGTCTAGACCTTAAATGGGTGTCTTGTTGCAGGGACATGCTTGTGAGACTATTATGTCATCCTGTTTTTAGAGGTAGAATATTCATTATAGAGTGTGACTGTTATTATGTCATTGTTTTGAGTAGTTGTCTTCACTCGTCTACATCCCTAATTTCCTTAAGTCTCCTTACATCCAAGAAAGCACTCTGTCTGGTGTCACATGATCAAACTGTACCTTTTGTTTCAGGGTCTATTGACATTTAGGGATGTGAGTGTGTACATCTCCCAGGAGGAGAAGGAATGCCCGGACTCTTCTCAGCGGGCTTTGTATATTGATGTGATGTTGGAGAATTACAACAACCTGGTTTCTGTGGGTGAGAACATTTTGATTGTAGAATTCCTAACTCAGGCTTTGTAGGTACTGACTTTATAGGTTATGAACTCTCTGTTAGGCTGTCTTGGAAACAACAGAAGACTAGGGAATGCTTGGAAGTAGAAAAGATCTTTTTCTTGGTATTTGGTTTTTGTTTTTGCTTTTTTTTTTTTACACTTTTCATTTCAGAGGTGTCATGTACCCTTCATTTTAGTTCCACGATGCATTTAGAAACTCTGTAGCATATAATATTTCCACCCATATCTTAAAGCGCATTGTCCATCACTGCATTTGACATAATTGTGAGAAAAACTAAGGATATGGAAATTTAAAATTCTCCCAATATATGCTGAAGATTCTGATAGGAAATCCTAGCAATTGGGAAATCATTCCTGTATTATTGTGAATTAATTGTATACGTGGATTATTGTATTGGAAGGCAGGCTTGGTCACCTGTCCGGAGCAAATGAGATTGCCCTTGAATGTGGAGAGGAGAGGGTAGCCACAGCCAAGGTGAGCTAGGGAATGAGCAGGACAACAGTGACAGCTTCAAGTGAAAGAGAAAGCAAGAGCTGAGAATATTTTTTGCTTTATTCAGTTCTACTTGAAAGGATTCTTGATCATTTAAATTAGTGTAGTGTCCTGGCCCCAGGATGCATGTGGCCTGTTGTAAATGTTAGAAGACGTTGTGCCTTATTACACCTGAATTATGGTGACAGTACTAGTACAAAATGCAATTTCATTTGAGTATGCCTACATTAGATTGGAATAATTTTATAAGTTATAAGCCTAATGTGAGTCCATAAAGTAGAATTATTCTGTAATTGCCTACCTTGCATACATGTCAATGGTGGGTAGAAATAAGCAATGGCTTTCCGTGACAGCTCTGCCCCAAATGGTCCAGTGGTTGTCAGTGCTGGCAATGTTACAGCCCTTTCATGCACTTCCTTACCTTGTGGTAACCCCCAACCATAAAATTATTTTGAGTGCTACCTATTAGCTGTAATTTTGCTACCAAGTGATGTCTCAGTTCCTGAGCTCATTGGAAATATGCGCTTTCAGATGGTCATGACGCACAGGTTGAGAACCACTGAACTGAGCCTCTAATGTTTGGCAGAATCCTTGATTTGCATTCATTACTTTTGAAGAATCTAATGTGGGTTTTTTTGTTTTTTGTTTTCTTTTGTTTTTTGGTTGGGGGGGTCACCACTTTGATTCTTTTTTTTTTTTTTTCAGTAAGCCTTTAATCTTTCAAGGCATTGGTTCTTCTGACTGTAATCTTCATTGCTATATATTTGTAAGTAGACTAATGTAAAAGACTGTGAACCTAGGATTGGATTATACTCTAACAATTTCTGAGAAAAAATATTTAAAAATAGAGACAATGGTCTTTTTATTTAAAAAAAACAAAAACCTGGAGCCAGAAATTGGGGTAAATACTGAAAGATCAGAGAGACAAAGGAACAAGTCACCTCTTACCTCTAGGACTCCTCATCCTGAAAAGCTTTCCGCAGCCAAAAGACTTTAGTTCCTGTATCCTCACGCTTTATATACCTTTTTTTCTGCCTACCCATATCATTTCCTGTCTCAATTTTCCTAGTGCTGGGAATAAAGGCTTGTGACTCCCAAGTATTGGGATTAAAGGTGTGTGCCACCACTGCCTGGCTCTGTTTCTCTCCTAGACTGAGTCAATCTCATGTAGTCCAGGGTGGCCTTGAACACAAAACCAGATGGATCTCTGCCTCCTGAGTACTAGGATTAAAGTTGTGTGTCGCCACTGCCTGGCTTCTATGTTTAATCTAGTGGCTTGTTCTGTTCTCTGATCTTCAGGCAGATTTATTAGGGTACACAATATATCACCACATAAATATAGTCAGTGAGCTCCATCCCAAGGCTAATTATTGATTCATCAATTATTTGTGTCAACTTCCTTGAAGTCAATCATTCTATTTTTGTGAAAATCCATATAATTACAGTGACAGAATGAGGTTAACTACTGCGAACTCTATTCAAAGTAGTTGCTAGTTGACATATCTTAAAAGAGAACTTAGGGAGGCAGTCATTTATCACATGTTCATTATTGGGACAAGCCCTATTAATCTGGACTGTACTCATTTTCAGGGAACTACTGCAAATGTGATCCTGACCATCAACATGTGAAGACTGGAAAGGAGCCTTGTCAGTGTAATGAGCTTGGCAAAGTGCTTCATGACCCCTCGACATGTGCACTTTATAGAACAAGTGAAACTGCAGAAGCCTTTAATAACTACAGTTACAATAATCACAGAGATGCCTCTGTTGACTCTTTAAACCCACATAGACACGAAAGCATGCACACTGCAGAAGAACCTTGCAAATCTGAAATCTGTGAGAAATCTTTAAATTTGTTTTCCAACATTACCCAAGATCAGAGACTCTACTCTGCAAAGAAAGAGCACAGTCAGGGAGAATATGATGACTGTTTTAGCTCTGCATATAGTTTTATGCAGCAAATAATCTATATTAGAGAGAAACCATTCCAATGTGAGGAATGTGGGAAATGCTTCAGTACTGCCTCAAACCTCAGGGTACATCAGAGAGTGCATACTGGAAAAAGACCCTACAAGTGCAACATTTGTGACAAATCCTTTACCTGGTGCTCAAATCTTAAAAGACATCAAAGACTTCACACTGGAGAGAAACCTTACAAGTGCAAAGAATATGGAAAGCCCTCTATTGGAAAGTCAAGTCTCAAAGGGTATTACAGAATCCATACTGGAGAGAAGCCTTACAAATGTGAGGTATGTGACAAGTCTTTTCCTCTGAACTCAACTCTTATAGCCATCAGAAAATGTGTACCGGAGAGAGAAAGTTTACAAATGTAGGGAATGTGGCAAATCCTTTATTAGGTCATAACTCACATTTTAGAACACATCAGAGGTTTCATAGTGGAGAGAGACCTTACAGTAGTAAGGAATGTGACAAGTCTTTCACTAGGTGTTCCTACCTCAGAGCACAACAGAAAATTCATACTGGAGAGAAAAGTACCCTTGTAAATAATGTGACGTAGCATTTATCTGGAATTCTCTGTTTATGAATCCCTACAGTATACATAATAGAAACATATAGATAAGAGACTTGTGAATGCCTTTAATGATGGTCTAAATCTTAGAAAATATCACAGGGTTTATATTAAAATTAAATTCCGCAAAATAACTGGAAAGTTTTTTGTTGTTTTGATTTTGTTTTGTTTTTTAAATGTGTATGGTGGCATTACCTGAGGCCAGAAGAGGGCATCAGATCCCCTGAAGCTGGATTAACAGAAATTGTTGGGAATTGAACCCCATCCTTTGGAAGATCAGCCACTGTTCTTAACCACTAAGCCTTATCTCCAGACCCTGGAAAATGCTGTAATAAGAACAGTTATCTTTTTCAGCATCCAAAAATTCATAATATTGTCAGGCGAGGTGATGCACATCTTTAATCCCAGTACTTAGGAGAGAGAGGCAGGAAAATTTTTGAGTCAGAGGCCATTATGGTCTACGTAGGGAGTTCTATGACAGCCAGGACTACATAAACTGTCTCAACAAGAACAAAAAGTCATAATGAGGATAAAATGTATTAACAAAATATGTGACAAAACTTTCTCATTTTGCTGTGCATTAGAAAATCCATAGTTCTGTGGACTAGTGGCTATGGAACCCCCATGGGACTGGACTAGGCCCTCTGGATATGGGAGACAGTTGTTTACCTTGAACTGTTTGGGGAACACCCAGGTGGGGGGATCAGAATCCATCCCTGGTGCATGATCAGGCTTTTGGGAGCCCGGTGCCTGAGTTGTGGCATCTTGCACAGCTTTGGTGCGGCAGGAGGGGCTTGGACCTGCCTCAGCTCAGTGTGCCGGGCTCTGCTGACTCCCCATGGGAGACCTTGACTTGGAGGATGTGGGCATGGGGGATGGCTTGGGAGGGAGGGCTGGGGGGTTGGAGGAGGGAGGAGGATCTGTGGGTGGTATGTAGGGTGAGTAGAAAATTTCTTAATAAAAAAAAAATAAAGAAAATCTGTAGTTCTGAGAAACTATATAAAAGTATACCATGTATATATAATCTCCGTGTGTTGTTATTCATTGGAAATTCCACCCTTCAAATGCATTCATCTTGGTAAATCTTTCCCTAGTGCTGAAATTGTAGGCATAGAAAGAATTCATAATGAAAGAAATAAGAAAATGCTCTAATAAAGATTCACCCTTTGTTCACATTCAAAATCTTCATACTAGAGTCAAAACTAAAAACAGCAAGAAAGCTGGGCGGTGGTAGCTCACGCCTTTAATCCCAGCACTCGGGAGGCAGAGACAGGGGGATGGATCTCTGTGTTCGAGGCTGGCCCGGGCTACCAAGTGAGTTCCAGGAAAGTGCAAAGCTACACAGAAACCCTGTCAACCCTGTCTCGAAAAACCAAAAGAAAAAGAGAGAGAGAGAGAGAGAGAGAGAGAGAGAGAGAGAGAGAGAGAGAGAGAATGAGAAACTCTGAAAAGATAAGATGTGCATGTGATGTCACAGTCATGCTTATGTTGCTTATAAAACTACAAAGGCTTTATACGGAGACTGGATGTTGCAGAATTGCAGCAGTCTGGTTTCCGTGGGTGAGAACAGTTTGCCTGAAGTCTCCCTTGCTCCTCCTCAGTTTTCTTGACAAACTAATCTGCAAGTGTGTGAGCTTTGTGTGAATGAGTCTCAATCTCAAAGTAAAGTGATATCCTCAGAGGAACATTGAAAATCTTCATGAAATGTTCTCTCTTCTTCCTGTGTCTCCCTTTTGGAGGTGTGAGGCTTCCATCATCTTGGGTCTATGATAAATTCAGAACCTTATCTAGTGTACAACGTTCTCTTCCCAGTCATTCAGCTTCATTTCTGCCCCTGAGTTTTGACTGAGCTGTGACTGGAACTGGGATTCCAGTTACCATAACTAAAAATGCTTTCTAATTGTTTTCAGTATTCTGAAACACTGCAGGACAGTTGGGGAATCATGTGTATAATCCTGTGTTTCGATTTCTCTTCATTTACTGAGCACAGTACTGTAGTAGAAATCCAGGTGCTTCCTGAAAATCTCTTTCTCACTTGCAGGTCTCACTGATCACCCAGACCTGCTCACCTGTGCAGCAAAACAAAGAGGCCTGGAAGATGGAGAGAGAGGAGACAGTAGCTAAGGATCCAGGTATTTGGAGGGATTGTTGAAGATGTGGAAGGGGTGGAAGTGGGACATGAAGTCAGTTTTGCCACATCCTATTTCACTAGAAATAATTCTGGAAATTTCCACTGAGAAAAATCTAATGATTATTCTAATGTACTTATAATAGTTATGAAGAACAGGTATGTATGTAGAAAGGAGATGTTCTACAAAAGAATTGATATTAGGAGGCAAATAAAATTTTGAGTATTCATGTGAGTGATACTCTCCATATTCATTCACATCACCGATCGTGTCTTCATACCAATATTAAATGGTTTTCATTTCTATGCTTTTAATATATTATAAAAGGATTGAAAATTAATACCTCTAGGTTTATTGTTTTCAGTATTTTTGGAGCTTTGGTATTCAAGTACTTTAACTTTTAGTGTTAATGTCTCCATTGCTGAAAGTAATGCCAACAGAATTTTGATAAGAATCAGGAAGTATATTTACAGACTGTTAAACTCCATCTGTACTGTCTTCCCATAGATATCTCCTATTGTCTGTGGTCATGAAAATTCCAAGTGGTTTCCATTGCTGTAATTGTAACACACTGTGAGATCACCTCTAGGTTTGATCAGGATTACTTTCTGTAAAACATGCAATAGGGTTGTGATAAGAATTGCTTGGAGTCTTAGAGAAGACAGACCTCTGTCTAGGCTGTCTTGTGTTTGAAAAGAACATGAAGCAATGTGCCAGTTTTCACATGTTTTATGTATTCGTCTGTTCTCTGCTGTGGATGTCTGCATTCTGGTTTATGTGACATAGAGCCATGTTGATCAGGACTTTCTATCTAATGAACCATTTTATCATTTGCTAATACTGCTTATTTTCTATTTTGATGCTTTTGTCTTGATTTTTCTGTCACTATTTTAATTATGATCATCAGCCATTTTACTGCTGTCCATTTTATGGCATTTAAAAAATTTTCTTCTTTTTCAGTTTGTTGTATCTTTAGATATGAAATGAATTATTGATAGAAAATATATTTGAAACTCAGCTGTCATTTTGCTTTTTCATGATTAGCTTAGGGAATAATATCTGTTTATATTTTAAGAAATTACTGAAAGAAATACATTTGGCATTGTTTAGGAACTTGAGTGTAGACACTAACTAGGAAGAATTGGAATCTCTGTATACTCAATTTACATTATCTTATGAACTACAATGCAGAACTTTTTAATATGTACCTATTGGCCATTCAATTGCTATTGAGCATGGGGTGTTCATTCTTTTGCTTATTTATTGGTTATATTATCATCTGCTTTCTTTCTAATTTTTTTTTTGATGGATTATGGGTTTTCATCCATTTCAGTATAAAAAAGATAGCTAATAAATATACCTGCTGTTTAGGCTATTTAAATTATTATTTCCCTGGATGTTTTTTTTTTTTTTTTTTTTTTTTTTTTTTTTTGGTTTTTCGAGACAGGGTTTCTCTGTGTAGCTTTGCGCCTTTCCTGGAACTCGCTTTGGAGGCCAGGTTGGCCTCAAACTCACAGGGATCCGCCTGGCTCTGCCTCCCGAGTGCTGGGATTAAAGGCGTGCGCCACCACCACCTGTCCCTGGATGGATGTTTTTAATTTTACATAGTAGTCCATTCCTTTTGTTATATCAAGTGTTGCCCCTTTATGTTACTCTTCAGGATTCACTGTTTCAGATAATACATGAAGGTCTGTGAGTCATTGTGTGGTAGGAGAGACTTGGATGCAGGATCATGTTTTTATATGTGGATAGATACTTTACCCAATATCACTGTTTAGAGAGGCTATCTAGTCTGTAACACATGTTTATGGTATTTTGATGACATTTACCTGGTCGTGGCTTTTGGGCATGTTCTGGATCTACTGATCTATTGCACTGGCCTGACCTGGAATCACACTGGGATAGCTCGAGCATTATATTTACTAGGATTCCTCTGTTACCCATTAAGTTGTAGGTTTCTCTTTACTATTTTGTGAAGTATGTTGTAGGAAATTGAATGTAATGGAGTTTTATCGGGGACTGTGGGGGTCCAGCCCCTCGATAGTCCCCTCCCAGGGTCCGGGAACAATCTACATCCAGCTGATAATTAATCTTAGATGAAAAGAAATGAATCTATGTACACGAAACTCCTTAGTCCATATACTTTATTATTCTGTGTCAGTTACAAGCTTATATTCTGCTCTCATATTTAGCTCATTTCTTGTCTGATTTCTCTCTACACTTATCTGTGGTCCTCTCTAGGTTCTATCTTAATTCCTTCATCTAGTTCTGCCCCTTCTAGGTTCTCTCTCATCCATCTAGTTCTTTCCCAAATCATCTCCTCCCATCTGTTTCTTCCTCATCTTGTTCTTCCCCCATCTGATTCTTCCTCATCTTCCATCTTGTTTCTCTAGTACCCTCTTCAAGCTCTTTAACCTAGTTCTTTCTCATCTCAGTTTGTTCCTCTCAAGTTCTTACCCATCTAGTTTTTTTCATTCTCTTTTCTCTTCTCTGTCCCCCAGTGCCCTGGAAGTCCTGGTATATATACACTTACAAGCAGTAAGTGACCCCTTAGCAGTGCAAATCCAGGCTTCCAAGGTCAAACAGAGGGGTGATAAGAATCACATCGAGAGGCAATAATCGTTAATTATCATTTGAAACCCCAAAGGGAAATGACCAATGGGGAAATGAATTAACTAAAGGCTAAATATCTAAGAAGAGGGCTCTTGTGTGCTCAACTATAGTCTCAAACGTGATTAGTAGAAAACGTTAAGAATCTGTAAGTTGCTAGGTCAATGGGAGAAAATAAAACTGTCTTCTTTTTTCCTGTGGCTCCTATCTGTCCAAGCTATCTGCCATTTTTCTGCAGGGTGGGAGAAAGTGTGCTCAGTCGCTAGGCAACCTGTGTACAGGTAGATGGTTCTGGTGGTAGTTAAAGGGAGATCTGGAACCAGAGGTAAGATTTGGGAAAGGGGGCAGTTAAGCTTAATTGGCATATCCGCCAGGCCTTCTCAAATGGGTAGCCTGGATGCATAAGTCTGTTCTTAGAGAGTACAGAGGTATCTCTGATAAGGTACTTTCCTTCATCTGAGGATGGACCTGGCCAGATGCTACCAATGATGATAATTACAGGGAGGCTTGAACTGGGGTTCTGGCTGAGCATAGCTGTCAGCACAGAAAATTATCTAACTATTCCTAGAAGTGGTTAGGTAAGGAGTTAAAGGTCTATAAAGTTAGTAAGGCTGTAAGAAAGGAGGGGTCGAACTCAACTGTGTAAAGCTATTACTTAAGGTCCACCTGACCTAGGTAGTGTCTCCTTCTGGAATTTATCTTAAATCAGGAGACTTGTTATTACTGTTAGTTCTTGAGAGTGGCTAAAAGAGATATCTGATTCCAGAGAAAGCCTTTCCTGAGGCTGTTCTACAAATACCTGGAATATGTATGTCCAGAGAGCGATCAGTCCATACTGTTAGCCCTTCTTAGGGAAAAGTCAATTGGGAAAACTATGAAAGCACACATGATTTTCATAACAGAATACAGCTGATTTATAACAAGCCAAATAACACCAAAAACTCCTTGGAATTTGGCTTCCTCTGGAATTCCCTGATCCTTCCAGGTAGTGAATTTGCCATAACCAGCTGAGTTCTTATGATACAATCCTGCAGCCCGCAGCAGAGTTTCAACTAACTATACAAAAAAACACTGTATTTCTCAGTATCATGTCCCCTTCCATCTGTGTAAAACATCTTTCCATGTTCTACTTAGTTAGCATCTTCTTCAGTTCCTTCAGCAATTCTTCATTTAGAGACCTTTCATGTGCTTAGTAAGTTTACTCCAGGACTTTTATTTTGAGTCTTCCCTCTTTCTCCTAATTTTTATTTATTGTTTAGTTATTAAATTTATATTCATTTATTTTATATATATGAGCGTTTTACTTGCATGAATGACTATATATCATATGCATTCTAGAATTATAGTTGTGGACAGTTGGATGCACAGTGTAGATTCTGGGAATGGAATTTGGATCTCTGCAAATCAACAGGAGCTCATAACCATTGAGCCATTTCTTTAGCACTATTGAGTGTACTTATGTGACTAGCAATGATAGAAAATATTATGAAGCCATTCTGGTCATTTGTTTTTTCATTTATATGATCTAAAATCTTGATTTTTTTCACAGACATATATTATTTCTCTCTTTCTCTTTCTTCTTCCTTCCTCTTTGTTTTCCTTTGTTTTTGTTCTTCAAGATAGGGTTTCTCTCTGTAGCCCTCACTGTTCTGGAACTTACTCTGTAGATCAGGCTCACCTCAAACTCAGAAATCCACCTGCCTCTGCCTCCCAATTTCTGAGATTAAAGGTGTGTGTGACCACCACTTGGCTCATTTATTATTGAACAACTTTTTTGTTCATTGTTGTTGTATGTTTGTATGAATTCCTATACATAAAAATACAACCTACTAGCCGGGCGGTGGTGGCGCACGCCTTTAATCCCAGCACTCGGGAGGCAGAGCCAGGCGGATCTCTGTGAGTTCGAGGCCAGCCTGGGCTACCAAGTGAGTTCCAGGAAAGGCACAAAGCTACACAGAGAAACCCTGTCTCAAAAAACCAAAAAAAAAAAAAATACAACCTACTAATTCGGAATGTGTTCAGTGATGAACATTTGATATTATATAACCACATAGTGCATTCTTCTATGAGGAAGACTGTTTTTCAAGCTCTCATAATCCCTTAGTATTTGACTAGGGTTGAGGTATAGTGAGCTTTCTTCTTCCCACATTAGTATGTCTCTTTGTCCTTGTTCTGCTCATGTTTAGGCAGCCATGTAAGATTTCATGCATATAGTTACTCTGTTATTTCTAGGACACACAATCTCATAGGAAACATCCTGCTCCTCTGGGTCCCATCCCTCCCCCTACCTCCCCCCCCTTCCCCAGTTTCTCTGTGTAGCTTTGGGCCTTTCCTGGAACTTACTTTGTAGCCCAGGCTGGCCTCAAACTCAGAGATCCGCCTGGCTCAGCCTCCCGAGTGCTGGGATTAAAGGCATGTGCTGCCACCGCTTGGCTACATCCTCTCTTTCTAAATGATAATCCTTGAGGGTGAGGTGCAGTGGTTCTGTTGCTTATGTGTCAGTTGGAACTGAACACCACAACTCTATATTTTGACTGATTGTGTTTTTCTAATAATCTCCCTGTATTGCATAAAGAACTTCCCTTGAGTGATGAGGACTAGATTTGTCTGTAGGAATAAGGAAAGTGTTTAGAATGAATTTATGGATTATGTGTATTTAGTAAAGTAGTGGTTGTATATTCTCCAAGATCCCTGACTTCACTAGCCCTAGGGAAACTAGCTAGGTTTCCAATACCAGGCATGATTTCCCTCTTGTTGAAAGGGTCTTAATGCAATAAGATGCTGTTGCTTACTATCAAGGTCTGTGTGCCACTCTTGCACCCTTAGGGCTATCATGCAGTGCAGATCATTGTTGTGGTTCATAGGTGTCATAGCTGGGTAGGTCTGTTTGTTGGCTCCCTCCTTTGAAAGCTTGCATGTTGCCTTCTGGTACCATGAAAGCTAGTCCCTGGGGCAGAGGCTTTAAAGTCAGTTCCATCTCCAGTCCTCTGGAGTCTGTGTCTGAAGTGCATGGCTTCTTAACCAATAGGGACGCACCTACGTCTGGGAGGCCAATATGGGCAACAGCAATAGCCTATAATGTTTGGAAGTCTCCTAGATAGTTATGACCAACAACTTTAAAGAAGGCTGGAGTGGGTAGCTAGCTGTTCCAGCTTTGACCTGGAAGTACTACCCCCAGGGAGGCTTCTGGTAACTTTCATGCCTACCTATGACCTGCCTCTGCTGGATGTGCTGGCTCTCTTGGTTCCTGGTGATCCTGGATGCTGGATGGTAGACCGAGCGGAGTTCTCCAGAGAACCCAGCTGGACTGCACCTTACCTCTCCCAGATCCTGTAACCGACCCCTTTACTAGCTGTAAATTACCCCCCAAAATAAACCTTTTTAACTATGTGGAGTTGCCTTAATAAATCCCCACAATAGAAGGCATTTCATGGCTGATGTTGGTAGTTTTGTTAAAAAAAATCTATGGCACTTGTGTGGAGCATTATCAGCCCAGTTGGGACATTTTTATTTATATTCTAAATGTATATATATGCTTACACAAATTTAATATGTTACAGACTTTTTTAGTAGATTGATAATATCATACATTATGACTTTTAGACATCCTTAGAGTTATTTTACCCTCCTTTTTCTGTGTTCATATCTGTCTCTTTTCATCCTTCCCTATTATTCCTGTCTCTCTCACTCACCCACACCCCACAGTGGTCTCCTTTTACTTTTCTGGTTACTTCAGTCACTCCAGGTTGTGTACCCACATCTGAAGATTTGGAACTAGGAAATTTTCTTTTTTTCTTTTTTTGGTTTTTTTTTTCGAGACAGGGTTGCTTTGTGTAGCTTTGCGCCTTTTCCTGGAACTCAGGAAAGTGAGTAGTCCAGGCAGTCATGATTTCAATTTTCTTTACAGCTGAATACTATTCCATAGTGTATATTTACCACATTTCTATTATCCATTTGTCAGTGGAGGGACATTTAGGTTGTTTCCTTTTTGTAGCTATTGTGAGTAGAGCATAGTGAACATGGCTGAGCAAGTTTCTGTGGAGTAGGTCGTCGAGTCCTTTGGGCATATTCCAAGGAGTGGAGCAGCTGGGCCATGTGCTAGATTTATTTAACTTGAGGGTTTATTTGTTTATTTAACTGAGGATTTTCCATATTGATTTCCAGAGTGCCTAGATAGTTTGTTGCTAGGGTATTTATTCCCTATGATTTTGTTTTTGGTGTTGTGACTGGTTGGGTCATTGGGGAGTATTTTTTTTTCCTTTGGTGTGAAAATTGTGGTTTGTTGTCTTGCCCATGAATGAATACTTCCCATTTCTCCTGTATTTATCTATTCTTCACATGAAATTCATTATTTCCCATGTTCTTGTGGATAATTCCTCTGATTCTCCTCTGTATATATTTCCTCTAATTTATTATGTGCTTGGTGCTTTTATGAAATGAATTGTCCAATATTAATTCATGATGATCTTCAAATGCACGTTTGTCTCCATCAATTTTAAGACAGTATTCTTCTGGGTGCAACAATATGGTTCACAGTGATTTTCTCCATAAATTTTAAATGTGGATCCATGCTATTTTGGCTTTGGGACCATTGACCAGACACCTGGTAGTATTCTGTTTCTTGGGATTTTCATGTGGTTTAACATTGTTATTTAAAAGCTTTCCTTACTAATTTTTGCTTTTTTTTTTTTTTTAATTCCTTTATATGAAAGGGCAGCAAGCCATCTATTCAGCAAGCCATCTATTGTTCCTGAAAGAGAAACTCAAAGAACAGAAACAACAAGAAATGGCTGATTTTCCAGGATATACGTCCCAGGTCATTCGTCAAGTCAATTATTTTTCTGGAAATGTTATATTTTGAGACTTGAAAGCCTTTCATTTTCTACTTCTGATACTTTTTTAACTTTATTATAAAAAAAAAGTTGCAAATAATAAAAAATTCACATACTGAAATTAACCAGACCCAGACTATACAACTCAATAGTTAGAGTAGTCATTGGGAATAGATAGATGTTCTGGAGCCCCGCATGGGATTTTATGTTATCACTCTCAAATATGCTTTGATGTAATTATCTACTACCCAAAACCAGAAGTGTGACAGAATTAGAACTAGAAAAGCAATTAGCTTTATATCCTTTTTTATAACTAGTGTTCGTTATCTGCATTCAGTCCTATCCTACCTCAAACCCTGATATGTAACCTTTCTTGTTCCCTTTTTTCCATGTTCTACTGTGCCCACGTGTATGTTGTTACCATAAACATATATCATTGGCTAGATTCTGCATATGAGGGAAAAATGTGATTTTTTTTTCTGACACTTTATGGCCTCATATTACACATTCTAAATCCACACATTTTCCTTCACATTTTTATTGTAGTTTTCTCTTCAGCTGACTGTTATCCCATTTTCTTTTTCTTTTTCTTTTTTTTTTTTAAGGTTTATTTATTTATTATGTATGCCGTAGTCTGTCTGAATGTGTCCTTGCAGGCCAGAAGAGGGCACCAGATCTCATTACAGGTGGTTGTGAGCCACCATTTGGTTGCTGGGTATTGAACTCAGGACCTCTGGAAGATTAGTCAGTGCTCTTAACCGCTGAGCCATCTCTCCAGCCCCCCAGTATCCCATTTTCATTATCCATTCATCTGTTGATGGGCAATTAGTTTGATTCCAGTACTTTGCTATGGTGAATTACAGCAGTAAACATGGGGTGTATTATCTCTGTAGTGGGCTGTAAAGTTTTGAGTGAAAGGGCTGGGGTCATTTTTAGTTCTAGCTTTAAGTTTTTAATAATCTTCAAACTAATTTCCATTTGAGTTTAAAAATATGCACCCCCCCCCCACACACACACACATACACACAACACAGTAGTTTATGAGGGTTCCTTTTTCTCCACATCCTCTCTAACATTTGTTGTCAGATAAGTTGATGACAGCCATTCTCTGCCTGGGTAGTATTTCAAAGTACTTTTAGTTTACATTTCCATGATGGCATTTTAGGGACCTGAACACTTTCTGCAACATTTCTTGGCCATTTGTTTCTGTCTTTGAAAAGTCTCTATTCAGTTCATTTGCCCTTTTGTTCGTTTGTAGTTTTATGTCCTTGGGCTTTAATTTCTGGTAAATTGTAGCTATGAGCCCATATCTAAAGTGTCACTGAAGTGTCAAAATGAGATTGTTTCTCATTTTGTGGGGTATCTGTGTTCTCTGCTGATTGTTTCTGTTGACACACAGAAACTTTATTTTCATGTCCTATCTCTCTATACTTGGGGTTCGTTCCTGTGCTGTTGGTATGTTTACTATTCAAAAAGTTCTTGCTCATCCGTATCCTGTTGGCTCTTCCCTACATTCTCTTATGTTTCTGTTTCTGGTTTTCAGTCATGGTTTGATCCGTTGTAACATGATCTACAGGTACAGCATTTGAAATTACATTTCCTCATCACAGAGCTTCCTTCTGAGACATGCATACTCTTACCCTTCGTGACACAAACACAGCACCCATCGCAGATAGGGATAACCATGTCCAGACCTTAAATGTGTTTCTTGTTTTGTGTATACTGCTTGTGAGAATATTGTGTTATCCTGTTTTCACAGAGTTAGAACATTCATGATAGTTTGACTATGTTAGAAATCCTTGTTTTGAGTAATTATCTTTATCATCTACATCCCTAATCTCCTTAAATCTCCTTATATCCAAAAAGAACTGTATCTGGTCAAACTGCACTTTGTGTTTCAGGGTCTGTTGACATTCTGGGATGTGACTGTGGACTTCTCCCAGGAGGAGTGGGAATGCCTGGACTCTGCTCAGAGGGCTTTGTACATTGATGTGATGTTGGAGAATTACAACAACCTGGTCTCTGTGGGTGAGAACATTTTGCTTGTAGAATTCCTAACTCAGGCCTTGTGTGTACCTACTTCATAGGTTGTAAACTCTGTTAAACTGTCATGGAAATAAGAGGAGACTAGGAAGTTTGGTAATAGGAAAACTTTCTCATGGTCTCTGAAAAAGAAAAATAAACCCTTTGATTCTTTTAAGTAAGCCTTTAATCTTAAAGGGAATTGGGTTTTCTGAACTTATCTTCCTTTCTGTTCATTAGTAAATATAAAACTGAATCTGGGATTGCATTAAACTCTTCTCCATCAATTTTTGAGGAAAAAAATATATAAAAATAGAAACATTCTAAATATAATCAGTAACTGAGCTCCATCCCAAGGCTAATTACTGGTTCTTAAATCATTTGTTACATCTTCCTTGAAGGCTATTACTGCTTTTTGTAACAATCCATATAATTATAGTGAGAAAAAAAAGGTCTAGTACTGGGAGCTCTATTCTAAACAGTTGCTAGTTGATCTATCTTAAGTGAGAACTTAGGGAGACAGTCATTTATCAAATGTTTAGTCTTGGAATAAGTCCTATTAATCTGAACTGTATTCATTTTCAGAGAACTATTGGATGTGTGATTCTGTCCAGGAACATGTGAAGACTGAAAAGGAGTCTTGTCAGTATACTGAGTTTGGCAAAGTGCTTCATGACCTCTCCACGTGTGCACTTTATGGAACAAGTGAAACTACAGAAAACTCTAATAACTACAGTTGCAATAATCACAGAGATGCCTCTATTGACTCATCAAATCCAGATAGACATGAAAGCATGCACACTGCAGAAGAACCTTGCAAATCTAAAGACTGTGAGAAATCTTTACATTTGTGTTCCAACATGACTCAAGATCAGAGACTCTACTCTGCAAAGAAAGAGCACAGGCAGGGAGAATATGATGACTATTTCAGCTCTGCACACAGTCTTATGCAACAAACAATCTATGTAGGAAAAAAACTGCACCAGTGTGAGGAATGTGGTAAATTCTTCAGCTCCCCCTCAAACCTCGCTATACATCAGAGAATTCATACTGGAGAGAAACCCTTCAAGTGCAATGTTTGTGACAAATCCTTTAACTGTTTCTCAAGTCTTGAAAGACACCAGAGAGTTCATACTGGAGAAAAGCCTTACAAATGTGAAGTATGTGACAAATCCTTTAACGTGATCTCAAATCTTAGAATACATCAGAAAACTCATACTGGGGAGAAACCCCACAAATGTAGGGAATGTGACAAATCCTTTACCCAGAGCTCACATCTTAAAAGACATCAGAGAGTTCATACTGGAGAGAAACCTTACAGATGTAAAGAATGTAACAAATCTTTTTCTAAGTGCTCAACTCTTCAAGCACATCAGAAAATTCATACTAGAGAGAAAACTTACAGATGCAAAACCTGTGACATATCCTTTACCCATTATTCAAATCTGAAAATACATCAAAGAATTCATCCTAAAGAGAGACCTTACTTCTGTAAGGAATGTGGCAAATTTTTTACTAGCAACTCATATCTTAAAGTACATCAGAAAATTCATACTGGAGAGAAACCTTACAAATGCAAAGACTGTGGCAGATCCTTCACCCAGTGTTCAACTCTTAGAACACATTACAAAGTTCATAGTCGAGAGAGACTGCATATGTAAGGAATGTGGTGAATCTTTTACTAAGTGCTCAACTCTTGGAGCACATCAGAAAATTCATACTGAAGAGAAAAGTGCTGTTGTAAATAAAATGACACCACATTTATCTGGTGTTCTATTCTTATAAACCACAACAGTATACATAATAGAAACATAAAGATAAGAAACTTGTAAAAGCCTTTAAAGGTTTAAATCTTAGGAAAGTATCACAGAGTTTATATTAAATTAAAATTCTGCAAATCTGTGTGAAAAGCTTTTTTTGTTTAAATTCCTAGGTGTTTTGACTGAATGTATGTCTGTACATTATATGTATGATTCCTGCCTGTGGATGCCAAAAGAGGGTATCAGATACACTGAAGGTGGAATTATAGGCAGTTGTGAGCTTCTCTGTGTGTGTTGGCAATTGCAGCTCGGTTCTCTGGAAGAACAGCCGGTGCTCTTAACCACTAAGCCATCTCCAACCACCTGAGAGAAGCTATAGTTAAAATATTTAGCTTGTTTAATATCCTAAATTTCATAATGCCAGGCATGGTGATTGTGGTGGTTTGAAAAATAATGGCCACCAAAGGGAGTGGCACTATTAGGAGGTATGGCTTTGTTGGAGTAGGCTTGGTCTTGTTAGAGGAAGTGTGTCGTTGTGGAGGAAGGCTTTGAAGTCACATATATGCTCAAAAATACCACCCAGTATCTTGAGTCTACTTCCTGTTGCCTTTGGATCAAAATGTAAGGACTCTCAGCTCCAGCACTATGTCTGCCTGCATGCTGCTTTGCTTCCCACCATGACTAAACCTCTGAACTATAAGACATTCCTATTAAATGTTTTCCTTTGTAAGAGTTGAATGACCATGGAGTCTCTTAAGAGCAATAGAAGCCTGAACTAAGACTAAAGTTGGTACCAGGGACTGTGGTATTGGTGGGATAGGCCTGACATGCTTTTGTTAGAAGGAATCTGGACCTTCGGACTGTGGATTAGAAAAGCAGTTATCCGCTTTAAGTTGTGATTGATTTGGCATTCTAGTAGGACCATGGAAGACAGTGATACTGAGTGATTTGAACTTTGAGTACCTGGAACAAGAGGATTAGGTGAAGAACATTAGTATGTAGCCTGGACATCGTTCTTGTGATATTTTGGTGAAGAATTGTTACTTTTTGCCCTTGTCCAAAGGTTCTGCCTGAGGATAAAGAGAAGAGTTTTGGATTAATTCTGTCGGCAGAGGAAACCTCAAAACAGCCTAGTATATAGCGCTGTCATGTGGTTATTAGTGATAACTCTAATGAATATAATGAAAAAGAGTAAGCTGAGCAAGGAAAAAAATATACAATGCAGAACAATTTGAGGAGAAAAGGAATACCAGGAATGGAGGTCAGTGTAATGGAGTTAAGCTCTGTGTTGAAGGGAATAAGCAGATTAAGAAATGGAACAAAGGGAGTGGTGACCTCAGGGCAAGATCCCGCCCAGATAAATTTCCAACTTGTGAAAAGGAATTAAAGTTTTAGAGTGGAGATGTAATTTAAAGAAGGGTCCATGCTCCAGCTCCAGTAAGCAAGAGAACATGGCAACTTTGGCCTTATAATTCTGGCTTCAAGGATAGAAAGGTGTGGAATCTTCCTTCTTAAGTGAGGAATCCCACTGAGGCCAGGCATGTTTCAAGGGCGTGCCTGAATGGAGGCTCAGAGAGGTCATTGTGTGAAGCTGCAAAGGAGAAGCCTGGATTGCTTTGGAGACCCCAAGGTGTTAGAGATGCCAGAGTCATCTGGTATCTGCTGAGCAAAGTTGGTGACAGGGAGTAAAACCAGCGCAAGAGAAAGAAGTGTGTTGCAGTCAACAAAACTGAAGGGAGTTACAGCTCTGAATGTCCTGTTCACATCAGACATAGAAATGCAGTCTGGAGTTTATCCAGCTGGTTTTTGGTCGTGCTTTGGTCCAGTATTTCCTCATCATGCTCCCTTCCCTGCATTTTGGAATGGTAATACATATCCTGTGTCATATGTTGGAAGTATATGATCTGTTTTTTTTTTTTATTTTGATTTTATAGGGGATTATAGTTAAAAGAGATTGCATGACTCCCAGAAGAGACTCTGAACTTCAGACTTTTAAACACCATTGAAACTGTTATGGACTGTAGGGTCTTTTGAAGTTGGACTGAATGCATTTTTGCATTATGATATAGCTACAAGTTGTTGGGAGCCAGGGAATGGAATGTGGTGGTTTGAAAGGAAATAGCCCCCAAAGTGAGTGGGACTGTTAGGAGATGTGGCCTTGTTAGAGGAAGGGTGTCACTGTGGAGGTGGGCTTTGAGGTCTCATGTGCAAGCCATGCCAAGTGAGATCATTCACTTTCTGTTGCCTTTGGATTGTTAAAGATGGCTGACTCCATTTTCTTTTTAATTGAACAATATTAGATTTTGATCATGTCCTTAGCTAGAGGCTAACTTTTTTGAGTGGTTTTTCCTCAATAACATTGTGAATTACACATCATAAATTGTATCCATTGTTCTGAGAATTGACTGACCATCTTGTGGTTTGTTAACTCCTTGACCATAAACCCATAACATGTACCTTTCCCATGATCATAGAAACAGCTGCAAAAGTCCACTCTTAATCACCTGCTTGGTATAAAAAGATTACTCTGCCTTTAAGTTGGGCTGTTTTCATTCTCCTACCATGAGAGACTGAAAATATGACCCCAGCCATTAACACATTTTTGCCTGGTGTTAGCTTATGGCTTTTGACACTATAACATGATCAAGATGTAGGGACTCGGCTGGGCAGTGGTGGCGCACGCCTTTAATCCCAGCACTCGGGAGGCAGAGGCAGGCGGATCTCTGTGAGTTCGAGGCCAGCCTGGGCTACCAAGTGAGTCCCAGGAAAGGCGCAAAGCTACACAGAGAAATCCTGTCTCGAAAAACCAATAATAATAATAATAATAATAAATAAAATAAATTAAAAAAATAAAAATAAAATTGATTAAAAACAAAAAGATGTAAGGACTCTCACTTCTAGTACCATGTTTGCCTGGCTGCCTTGCTTCCCGCCATGATGATACTGGACTAAACCTCTGAACTGTAAGCGAACTGCTCCAATTAAATGTGGTGCTCACCTTTAACCCAGCACTTATGACATAGAAGCAGGAGGAGCTCTGTGAGTTTGAGGCCAAACTGATCCATATAGTAAGTTTCAGTATAGGCAGGACTACATAAACCCTGTCCAAAAAAAAAAAAAAAGAAAGAAAGAAAGAAAAAAGAAATTATATAAAGACAAAACATAGTGCCAAAAAAAAATAAAGCATTTAATTTTCCCTCTAATTTTGCTGTACATCACAAAATTTATGCTTTTGAGAAACCATATAAATGTATACCATATATAATCACCATGTCTTGCTATTCATCGAAGTTCCAACCCCCAAATGCATTCAACTTGACAAATCTTTTACCTAGTGCTGACCTTGTAGACATAAAAGAAAATTCATCATGAAAGAAAACACAAAGTGCTTCAATAAATTCTCATCTGTTACTCACCTTTAAAATCTTCAAACTATACACACATCAACTTAAACCATACAAATATCAAGATGAGAAACTAGAGTTAAACTGTGAATGTGACAACATGCATACACATCTATAGCTTATAAATGACCAATGTCAGGGCTGGAGAGATGGCTCCGTGATTAAGAGCACTGGTTGATCTTCCATAGGACCCTGGTTTGATTCACATCACTTACATGGCAGGTCTCTACTGTCTGTGACTCTAGGACCAGGGGATCTGGTGCCTTTTGTAGTCTGCAGATACTGCATGCACATACTGCATAGACACATGGAGGCAAAACACCCATACACATAAAATTAAAGAATTAATTTTTAAAAATCCAAAAGACCAATGGCAAGGCATAGTAGCACATGCCTTTAATCCCTACATCTGGAAGTAGAAGTTGGGTCTCTAAGTTCAAGGCCAGACTGATTTACAAAGCAAATACCAAGACAATCCGGGTTTTACAAAGAAACCCTGTCTAGGAAAAAAAAATCCCTTAAGGTATGCAAGAATTCATTTTGCTGTAGAAAGTACTGTAGAAAAATGGAGAAGTATCTACTCCAAACTCTAAAGTAATATACCTGCCTGTAACTGCCAGTAGACCTTCACTGAGGGATAGGAGACTCCTGGGACCCTCCTTCAACCATGATGAAATAGTAATTGTCCCAATCTTCCACAATTGTTTGTTCTCAGTACTTTTTGAACAGCTATTTCAATCTGGATTACTCACGACCAACTGTAAGAGGAGACTTCTTTCACCAAGGTTGAGAGTAGTACAAATCATAAGGATGAATATTTAGATGGCAAATTAACAAACATGATCATCAAAACATCAGTAGGTTCTGCTCTTGGGCCTGTGACTCCAATGCCATGGTTTTTGACCATGTTTACTGTACCAGGCAAGAATTCCCTTCTCTGCAGCTGGTGTCAATCCTATCAAGAGGCAGGTTGGTTATGCCAGTATTGCACCAGTGCACACATCTTGACTAGTAGGTTGCCACATAGAATGCAGGTTACAGTGGTAAGACCACTGACATCCTTTCCCTACCAGGAGCCTACAAAGAAATTTAGAGTGCTACAATACCTAGACAACAGAGAGAGTTCCCTGGTAAGTTAAAGATTGCTCTCTATCTTGCAGTCAAAGTGGTGTCTTCAGCAACACCATGTACTTACAGCAAGAGTACTAGCAATGACCTGTTTTGTTTGGGGTTACAATGGGGCCTCCCTGACCAGTAAGTCATAGGCAGATAACCAGTACCTGGTACAGAGAGTTTCATTTAACATCCCTAGTGTCTGGGAGCAGCATTATTTACCCATGTGGGAACCTCTGTTCAAAGTTTTAAAATCATATTTACCTAAATTACATTTAACTTGTAAGACAAATTTTATGAGGCTTCTTCATACATCCTCACTGTTGATTAACCCACCCATTCTTCCTCCTTTCTTCTTGCCCCCATCCCTAATGAAACATTTAGCACGTATTATCCAATGCCCCATTCTTTTGTAGCACATGTGTTCTATCACCATTATATTTTTTTACTTGGGTTGCAA